AGATAGATAGATAGATAGATAGATAGATAGATAGAAGAAAATGAACACATTAAGATAGATAGATAGATAGAAAATGAACACATTAAGATAGATAGATAGATAGATAGATAGATAGATAGAAAATGAACACATTAAGATAGATAGATAGATAGATAGATAGATAAATAGATGAGATAGATAGATAGATAGATAGATAGATAGATAGATAATGAAAGATGAGATAGATAGATAGATAGATAGATAGATAGATAGATAGATAGATAGATAATGAAAAGGCTGAGATAGATAGATAGATAGATAATGAAAAGGCTGTGATAGATAGATAGATAGATAGATAGATAGATAGATAGATAGATAGATAGATATGAATAGGCTTAAGAATTACAAAATTTGGGTGGATTCTTCACACCAAAATAAGTACAAAAGTCCATATAAACATATGTCCGCAAATCCTTTGTTTTTTAGTTATTAATTTCAAAGTAAATCTGCGGTGGATAGCGCCATATTTCCGGTCAGCTCCTTTATAATTAAACGCTTGTGTAGCAAAAACTTCCATAACGACAACGGATCAATTAAAAATGTTAAATTTACTATAACTATTAAAAATCACTATGACAAAGAAATGCAGATTGTATCGCAGTTACAAGAAGTTTGTCTTTGTAATTTACACCTGAAGATGATCTATGAAAATATACAGGATGTTTCAATGTAAATATCACAGAAAGTACACGATTAAGGCAAATGAAATTAAAAAGTATTAATGTTGAAGATCATAAGATTTATTCTTCCAAATCTGAATGAGAAATTCAAAAGCATGTGGATTATGTGAACGATTTCACAAATGTGAAGTTTGTGGTCGTCCGGATCCTTTTGCTCTGCACAGACAGCCTTCCTCTTTGAACTTTTTATGCCATCTCCAAATCTGCATTCCTGTTGGGGACTATCTAGAGAACTCTGCCATAAATGCACGCTGCACAGTCTTGTTTGACTGTGTTCTAGCAAACTCCAACACACAAAACGCCTTTTCTCTTCTAGTAAATAGCATTTTTATACCTGTAAAGAAAAAGATTAAAGATTAAAGATTAAAGAACATAAAAATACAAATAAGAAAAACACAAAAACATAAAGACATAAAAACATAAAACAAACATTAAACATAAAGATGCTATTAAAATTTGAAGTCATTTGAAGGAGATCTAACAAAGTTATTAGATTGCGAAATGATATCAAATTTTTTGAAACACCCTGTATTTAGCTTTTAAAACTAACTACATCACTTTCCTTGATGAATTTCATCTTAACATCAAGAAACTGGTTAGGTAACGGGAGAGGATCAGTGTGAAATTAAGTAGACACAATATGACTATATAATTCAAGTAGATACACACACACACACGCGCGCATGTGCACACCCATATATATATATATATATAGTGCTGGTCGATAAAAGTGACTCACCTTATCCTTTGAATTTAGCTCGGCTTTCGTTTCATCGGAGAAGAGAACATTTTTCCAGTCTTCTACGGTGACATTTTGTAATAGTGAGCCCATTCAAGTCTCTTGGCTTTGTTGGCTTTGCTTATTAGCGGCTGAAACCTTCGCGTACAAGATGTGTAGCCTTGTTCTAACAAGATTTGTAACCTTGTTCTGACGGACTGTTGAAGAGGCAAGATTAACACCTTGCTCTTCGCTGAGACAGGCTGCAATTTCTTGGCAAGTTATAGTCCTATTCTTCGCAACTTCTCTCTTGTTTACCCTGCCAGTTCTATCATCAATCTTTTTCTTTCTTCACCTTGTTTCCTTCCTTGGAGCAGGAGTGCCATCATTATGTCCCCTAAGCACTCAAGAGAGGTTGCGAGGTTATAGCAATTTCTGCAATTTCTCTCGTAGACTTGCCTGCTTTTGAGAGGGCAATAATAGATGCCTTAAGTGGTTCTGATGCGTGTTTGTACTTTTTCATCTGGTTAGTGACTTGAGTGGCTATTTCAAGCTGTTTTTATACTGTATGAGGCTTTCTGGAATATTCTGGAATACTCTAGATTTAATTTAACCTGTTCTAGAATTCTGTAGAATATTGTTCTGAGTGTATTGTAAAATAGTTTTCAATATTTTGTCAAAAGTTCTTTAAATTTACCATTTTAATCATTAGAATGCGATATCTGAGTCACTTTTTTGCGCAGAGTTTTTTTTCTGAATCTCATTTATATTCAAATTTATAATTATCAGTAGAATACCTTAGGGTTAATAAACTTTTTTTCCTAGGTGGTCGAGAAGGGGGTCTTTATATTAGTAAGATTAAAAATTATTTTAACCCCAATCAGGTGAGTCACTTTTATCGAACAGCACTATATATATATATATATATATATATATATATATATATATATATCAAATATACGTTGGGCGGAGTTTTCACACCAAAACAAGGAAAACAGAGCATATAAATATATGTCCGCAGAACCTATGTTTTTGACGTCCTGGGTAAGACGATAAACTACATCCAGCAGCAAGGCAGGCCTCTGATCAGGAGGTGTTGAGGAGCGTGGAACCTCTTCTTAATTGCTGGTGTTCCCAGATTCACCCTGACCGGGGTGGTAGCACCTGTTAGGGTCCCAGCTATGGGCACATAATTAACACTTAAATTTGTGTAAAAATAGGTTTTAATACCAGAAATACTTTGTAATGAAAAAATTATTACCAGAAATAATTTTTGAATGATAAATTATTATCAGCAATACAAACCGTTATACATTCTTTGAAAAGAATAGGACCAGCTATAGATTTCCTCAAGAAATATATATTATCAGCAATAAAATTTTTGTTGGCATTAAATAACCCATTGAGGTTGATATGCCGTAAAAAAACACACAAACTAATATATACTGAGATAGATAGATAGATAGATAGATAGATAGATAGATAGATAGATAGATAGATAAAAAAAAAACATTACCAGCAATAAAAAATGTTGGCATTAAATAACCCATTGAGGTTGATATGCCGTAAAAAGCACACACAAACTAATATATATTGAGATAGATAGATAGATAGATAGATAGATAGATAGATAGATAGATAGATAGTTAAAAAAAAAACATTACCAGCAATAAAAAATGTTGGCATTAAATAACCCATTGAGGTTGATATGCCGTAAAAAAACACACACACAAACTAATATATACTGAGATAGATAGATAGATAGATAGATAGATAGATAGATAAAAAACATTACCAGCAATAAAAAATGTTGGCATTAAATAACCCATTGAGGTTGATATGCTGTAAAACAACCAAACCAAACGAAACCTACGTTTTTGGGTGATTAAGTTTAAAGGAGTTCTACGGTAGATTGTTCCGTGTTGCCATGGAGACTAGGTTACGTTTGTCAGTCGTGTATATCTGTGGTTAGTCTATCTACAACGGTTATCGTGTGTAGTAGTGAATTAACTGAGATTTCCTCCGTTCAACAATGCTCGGATATTCATATCGTGAGCAGGCAGATATGACTTTTACATACGGCTGCGCGAATTGTAATGGACACGAGGCTGCACGGCTGTATGAGATTGTTTTTTCTAGATCAATGGTAGCCGAATCATTCCACCTTTTGTTGCTGTTAATTGTTG